AGTGTGTTCATCATCGCTGCGTCATGACTGGTTTCAACATGCTTAGTTTGTACGTGTTCGTATAGCTTGTACTCGACATGGAGTACACCAGCCAAACACACTAAAGATACCAACAAACTTACACCAGAAATAACCGAACTGTTGTCTGTTTTCATGATGAACGAAGTGACAGTCTGTGGATGTGATTAAATTTGTGGTAATTCAAGTCGAGTCTTGTTGTAATGTATACCAATTCCAAGCAGGAAGAAAATACTAGTAATATGACCTCAAGTCTGAAATCGTTATAATTGGGATTTTGTGACGGGGTCAGCACACTGGCCCGTAGACATAGAAAACGTTTGATACTATAAATAAAGAAATTCAAGTCGGGGCAGGCAATCATTCATACAAATCAACAAGGAAACTATAACGAAATAACTGACTTAAAGTGAATGGGATAAAAACGTCTTGCAGTCGAAGAGCAGGATTTTTTATCTCGGTATTTTACTTCTTCTACTATCTGCAGGCGCTCTAGAATGGCATAACTGGTTCACCAGAATGTAAAAATATATCATTTTGTATAATATATCGTCCGTAACGCGACGTAACGCGCGTACTCATTAAGCTTATGATTCACGTAAATAGTCAACGGAGAATAATTACGCGCTGTATTAGCTTTGTTCATGAATATCCGACACTAGGTTTTTCGCCATGCAGCGCAAAGCGGTTTTATTGGACCGACAACGTGTGCCCGATCACAAATCGGTATCCAAGGCCCTTTCATTTTGTTCTTTTCATTGTGGATTTTAGCTTGTGAACTTCTTTTTTGGCGGGCTGATTCGTGCGGCGTTAACGAGGCACCTTCAAAGTATACGCTCACATGTCCGACAACGAATCTCAATAGAGTTTCTTTTTTACTCAGATTTTATGTCTGATAAGCCAATAATGGCGGCTCGTCGAGGAAAAACACGCGGAAAGCTTAGTACGAAGCAACGTTTTGACGGAAATCTTGAGGAGAAAGCAGTGGCGGATCCAGGATTTTTCAAAGGGGGGTTCACTTTGTTTTCGCATTTTCCTAAAACGAACATTTTTACTATGCCTCTCGAAGTGTTGCAAATGTAACATGAGTGTAGTTATAGACAGCGCATCTCTTAAGGCCTGAAAACGCTTTACAGTTCTGTGTGCGTACATTGCAGCCATGTGGTAAAAGTGTATAAAGCCGTTTACCTATTGTAAGATGTAAGCCAGCTACTTTTTTTTATTTCCACTGGAAAGGCGTCCTAGGAACTAGTACCTTGACTGGTCCAAATTGCGTCATATGCCTAACGATCATTTTTTTTAATTGTCATAATAGTACTCAGTAAGTGCTTCAAGGTAATTCATTTTTATATTAGATCAAGCCTATCAACATTTATCGGGACAATTGTACGGCATTTTGCATTCGGATGCATGATAATGTGCGGTATTGTTTTAATGGTCGCATACTATTGTTTTGCAACCTGGTCGGCCGAGCTTCCATGGCGGTGAAAGCATTATAAACAAGAAAAGTGCTAACGTTAACAATAAAAACAATAGCTATTATTCGCTTGTCTGAATCAAATCTTATAAAGGCGAAAGGCTCAGCCTGAGGTCATTAGTCTACGACAACAACAGCAACAAGAATAACAAAGTCATCGTTACGTCTGTGCTGCTAAATATCTGGGTTTTTATGGCGTCTCTTTCAAACTATTTCCATTGTCTTCTGTACTCACAGATCTCTTGCATTCGCACGTTGTGAATAAAAGAATTCAAGTCTTCTTATTCGTGTCTATCCGTAGCATTTTAGTTTACCAAGTGTGTGATATGCTTGTTCCCGACTTTCATCAGTGTCACCAAATCGTAATTGTGATACAGGAAGAGTTGTTTTGTCAGTTAAAACACCGCTGTCACTACGCCAACCACTGCCTTTATTATTGTTATGTTTACCTTCACAGTTGCACCCTTTATTCGTAGAAAAACACGTGTTGGTCATAGAGCATGCGCACTTCTTACTCCCTGGTGTTGCTCCTCCCCAGTAGTCCTGACGTACACCGTCACGTGATACCCACCAACCATAGCCATGATCAAGAAAAAAAATATCATTGTTACATTCAAACTTAGTAAACTGTTCACAGTTTGTTGATATTTGAGTCAGTTTTGCCAACTGAGCCATCGATGCACCATTGTAACGAACATCTTTACTATA